AGGTGATGGGGAGACGAAAGTGCTCTGGAAACATTAATACTCTGCAGGAGATATTTGCATAGTTGTTAAAAATAAAGTTTTTGAAGTTCTGCTTTGGAATTTTCTCTCTATTTTTATTTTTATTTTCCAAAAGAAAAACATCTCACAAAAACTGAAAAAGGCACCAAATGTCTGAAAAGAGATTTATTTTACTTTTTTCCTGAGGACCCATAAATTTGGCGGATTTGATCCTAAATGAACTGCAGACAAACGTCCGCTTACTCTTGATATCATCAGAAATGGATTTTCTTCCTTTGTGCTGCCCCATACATAATCAAATGCATATTCAAAACACATAATGCTCTGCTATTTTAAAATTATTGCTTGATCCTATGGCTGTGGAAAAGCAGTGGAGTCAGCCAGTGTCTCTTTGGGGTGAATCAGCAGCAAAGGCAGGACTGGAACTAAAGACATTGCAATACCTCCCTCTCTTCTTCCAGTTCCCAAAGCAATAAAACCCTTCTATGCTAAATTAGACTATTGATCAGTGGCTACCATTCCTAATGGACATCCTGTCTCTCATGTCTGGGATTAGGATGTTCTTTCTGCTGCTGGATAATCTTAGTACTGCACAGTTGCTCTTTCTCTGCTAATTACTGACTGTAAGAAGAAAGATCTCCTGGTTGTTTTCTGTAAAATATCATCAAACAGGATCACATGAGAGGAAATAGCAACATCAATTTGCAATCTACTGCTATCTGATCAAGTTTGAGCTAACTACTAGGTATGTATTTTCTTTTCTATGAAGTGACGTTACATCATTAAACCACCATCTGCAACATGTTACAAGACATGTTGATAATTCAAGCTATCGTGTCATAATATTCATTAGGGAAAAAAAAATAAAAATGCTTCTTCCCGCTACTGGTGACTGTCAAAAGGGTAAGCATGAGCAGAAAGTCAGACCTACCAAGTTTCTGAAAAAGTACCACAGCCTGAACGTCTTGCACCAAATACAGTCTGGATGGCCAAGCTTCAGTAGGGGTTGCCCCAGCATGACTGAATTTAAGCACTCTGATTACATGAGAAAAAGGGCAAGATGTTCTTTTCCCTGTGACTTGACACCCACACATGTTCTCACACAGTGAGGTGAGCCCGAGTCACACACTCAGCAAATCCTGCATTTTGGCCCAATGCAGGCACGCAGCAAGTGACAATGTGACAAAAGAGTCTACAGAGTAACTTCCCCACTTCTTGGTCTTTTCTCAGGACTGCCAGGCAAAGATGACAGGAATAATAGCAGAGAGCCTCAGTACTTCCCTACCCCTTCCAGACAGCATCATCTTAAGGCAGTTCTTAGAGATCCTTCATCATTTTGGTCAAGGAACATTATCACAGATTAATTTTTTTTAAAGCTCAGCTGTGATCCAAACATTGTTATGATGAGGCCGAGGGCAACTGTAATCCAGCCCACTGAAATCTCCCAATTTTGCACACAACCTTTGTTTAGGGGTGCACCTATTCAATTTTCACCCAGCTTTTTCCTAGACTGAAAACACCCATTAGCAAGTCAGCATCCCACACTACATCCCAGCAGCCAATTTGTGTGCTCCCAGTTAGCAGAGAGAAAAACATCTCTCTGCCAAATGTGCCCTAAACTGCATCTTGCTAAACGTCAAGCACCGGTGGTAAATTAATAGCCCTGACATACAGATGGAACAGTAGACATATTTGAGGGTGCTGCTAGTACCTTCTGCCTTCTGAGGTCCACAACCAGTGTCCAAACAGATGTCAAGGGAGGGCCTTCTATTCTTTAAATGTAAGCTGTTTTCTATTGTATCATGGTTTGGAACTCAATACGTAAGATGTACTATGGCACTGTGAGATAGTGACAGCTGCTGAAGAAATGCTGTGTTATAAACATGCAATGATGCAGTGAACTGGCAAATCCATATGGCTGGAAAAAGTAGGAGGAGGAAAAAGAAAAAAATATTTCAGATTATTTCTGAACAAAGTAGGCACTTGGTAGTTAGCTTCAGTTTACAGGCCCTAACGGCAGCTTTTATGGAACAAATGAAAAAAGGATTGTGTATGCACACACACACACACAGATATATATGTATGTATATATAAACGTGCACTTTGGCTATTGCTGTTATCCTAGAAATGATCTGCATGTGGCTGGAGAAGCAGAGGTGATACTGTCCTACAGCACCACACCTCTGTGTCTTACTTGGTTGAACTCTTTGGCTGAGCAAATAGTATCTTGGCTTGTCAGAGCACCACCTCCTCCAAGCATCCCCCTGAAATCCATGTGCAGCCTCCCCCTCCCTATTCTGTGCACACAGATGATTTCCACACGTATATACACCAGGGAAAGATCAATCCCTCACTTCTGCAGTATCCTAAGTTATGGAGGATTCTCTGCATGTTAGCAATGAGCGTGGACAGGACGGCCATAGGACATCACTGAGGGAGACCCCAAAACCACATGGAAATGTTTATACAGCTTAAACGTGCCCTCATAACTGATGGATCTCAGCAAGCATAGTTGTCCATTATGTTTAAAAATGCTGATAAATCCAAGTCCATGACACATGCTTCTTAGGAAAGCAACTATTGTGTGTTATGGCTTTTCAAAAAACAGAATGAGGAAATGGAATCTCACAGCCACATCAGTCCACATTTCCAAACCTGGCTGCCACAGCTTGCTTCCCACTTCTGAACGTGAGATCCTAACAAAAGTGGCAGTCTCACAAGTTCTGTATGTTAACAGCAACCATCCAGCTCCTTCTCTTCTCTCCAACTATTTTTGCTTGAATCCTGAACACAAGATTAAAAATCCCAATTTTATCATGCAGGTTTGAACTCGCAGCCCAAAGAGCAGATGGAAACAGGAGCTGAAGCCCGTGAGTCTGCTCTGCTGTATGGCACTTTTCCATCCAACTTTAATCAATGGTGTCTGAGAACTGAGGGCTCAACAAGAATTGCAGTCCAGCGCTGGTGACATTTGCCTATGCTCCATAATCATCCTCAGATTTTTATGGAGAATTTTCTCTCCAGTGATTTTTTCCCTTGTCATTTAGTGCCACTATTTCAGATTTCCCCTTGCCGACCTGCTGGAGTGTAATCAGTGCATCTATATAGAGTATGAGAATATATTTGGAAAGCTTATTTCCAAGGGCCATTGGTGATGACTAACATTTTTACACTGCACAAAAGAAGAGAAAATAAATTTAGGAGTAGCAAATAGAGCCACTGTGTTATTTCCTTCCCTGTAAATAAATAACTGTAGCACTTATATTCCAATTGAGGAGCTGGGTACCAAGCATCTTTGTGGGGAAGGCACTATTCAAACAGTCATAAACGTTCGCCCAAGACATTGACAATGAAGGCTTAAGACAGCACAAATTATAGGGAACATGAAAGAAGCCCTGCTTCCCTTGAAGACACCACCTGTTTAAGCACCTGGGAAAAATTATTCATAGCACTTCACCACTACACAGACAATAAAGATCCTATGGAAATGTCTTTGTTTAAAATCAACATTTATGGCTCAGATTTCACAGAAGTGTATGTAAATCCAAACTGACGCAACAAATGCAAAATGACGTCTTTAAAAACATGGGCCCTGCACGCCAGGCTTCAGAGCAAGCCAAACCATTTCAGCTTTAGTTTCTCCTATTTTAGCATCAGAGACCTGAGACCACAATTACCCTTTTTTTTTTTTTTTTTTCTTCTTCATTCTGGGTTGCTTCTTCTCAGTAAATATTTATATAAACTTTTTTTTTTTCCCTGTAAAAGAACTGCCCTCCTCAGCCAAATAACTATTAACCAGAAAATGGGAGCAAACTCCACTGGCATTCAGCTTCTCAGTTCCATGCCCTTGCTCAAGTCATAGGAGACCAGACCCTTTAAAAGCTAGCAAAGCCTCTACATTGGGGCCCTTCCATTCTGTGCAGGTGGATAACGCCTGTATGCAGCAGAGGAAGGGGGATGGGCGCAGAGCTCAACCACAGGTGAACCCAGGTCCCTACGCCCTGCTGCCTGTACCTAGCAAGCACATTTAAGACTTCATTTCCCCATGCTATGCCTATCTCCCTTATCTGCAGAAGGTGAGCTGAAGTATTGCACATCATGCTGGATCACAAGTACAATCTAAAAGCCTTATGATGCTTCCACAGAAGTTTAAAATATTAAGAAGTACTGCATAACTTGATTTTGAACTATAAATTTTACCATTACCTTACACTGCTTTGATTTGCTTCAGTCTTGTTTGAAGACATTCTGAAACCAATTAATGGACTTCCTCTAGATATCTCATATTGACTCTTACATTACTGGTGCTTTTTGTGAATAAATATTTCACCAAGGAGGAGAAAGCTTTCAGGTACGTTTGGTTAAGTCACCATGTGGCAGAGATGTCAAATTATCCATATGAGCTTGGAAGGTGTCTCACTGCATAGGGCTGCACAGTCCTTAGGTGTAAATGACTCACGTGTTACTGACTGCCAAGAAGGATGCAGTCATAGAATCATAGAAACATTAAGGTTGAAGAAGACCTCTGAGATCATCTAGTGCAACCATCCACTTACCACCAATAATGCCCACTAAACCATTACTCTAAGTATCACATTTCCTTCGTTCTTGAACACCTCCAAGGTTGGTGGCTCTACCACCTCCCTGGGCAGCCCATTCCAGTACCCAACCATTCTGGTTTTGAGCCAGATTTTTTTCCCTTACACATAAGGAACAACACTATGGGGTCAATTGTGAGTAAAGATTCCTTGTCTCCTTCCCAGCCATCACCCCAGTAACTCATCCTTTACCATATAGCACAGGATTGTACTAAGGTGGAGTTCACACTTTTCAAAACACTTATTTCAGTCACAAAGGAAATCTGATAACTTTGATTTGCTTTCTAATCTCAGGAAAATACCAGGAACTGTCCTCTCTCCCCATCCCCCACTTCCTTCAGAGAAACCCCAACAGTTTGCACAGAAATAGGAAATGACTGTTACCTTTAGGCTTGTGGGTTTTTAGGTTATAGGCTTCTTTGTTTTCTGTTTAAAAACTTGACACTTCCATTTCTTTCTGTTTGCCTCCATCTTCCAGTTCCCCTTTGAACTCCCTCTTTTCTTTCGGGTGTGCTTCTCACTCAGCGTGCTTCAGTTATCGTGAGAGAGATGCCAACAGCCAAGACCGTGAAAGAGTCTAAAGAAGGAGTACAGTCACATTTTGGTATTTTTATTACTGGAGAAATTCTCTACTGTGATCCCTCTTGAGCACTGCTTCCCCATAAGAAGGAAAGCTGGTGAGGGGCAAGGAGAACCCCTTGTCCTGGCCAGAGCAAAACTGCGGCCTCTGAGGGCAGGATGAGTGGGACTGTGGGGGGTTGGGGATCTGTCCATGCCAAACAGGAGACAGTATGGAGGTATGACAGAAGAAGCTGCGACGTTTTTGAATAATTTTTCATCATGTTTTTGCCCATGTAAAAATCAGTCCTTAGAATACAACCAAAGAAATCACGCAGCGGTTTAATATTCCTTACAGTGCCTGTGTGGGCGATTTTCATACTCCCTGGTTGGGGATGCAATTTGCCCCAACAACTGTTGTGGCTGCTTATTTTTCCAAGTGAATGAAAACACAGCTACAAGTAGAAGTTACGGCAACCACTGCCGCCTCATTTACCTCTGCAGTCAGGTTTCTACTGGTACGAGTGCTCAGTTACACACAGGAAATGCAATTGCAGGTGCAAAACTTGAAGCTCATGTTTACACCCACCAGCGGGAGGCTCACCTTCTTAAACGTATCTGTTTATGTGCAAAGCACTGGAGAAATTGCCATAATAATATCTTCAGCGCATACATGAATATTACAATGCTCCTTCTGCAGAGAGGAGAGTTAGTACAGCAGTAAAGCACATAACTCCAGGTCACAGCAGTGGAACAAAAAAGCCTGCTGGGAGTTCCTACCTCTTCCAGCTTAAGATCAAGTCTGCTTCTCCATTTAACTTGCTTTTCCAAATAATTAAAAACTTTCTGAAAACCCGCAAGAAGCATTAGTGAATATATTCCACACTTGTTTGTTCTAACAGTTGCCAGAAGGTCTTTCGGTCTCCTTGTCATTTTGCACTATACGACCTAAGTAACACTGATATTTATTGCTCATTTTCATTTAGCTCTTTGAAGACCAATCCACTTAATGATCAGAAACCTCACACAATTTAGCAGATAACATCACTGCAGAGACTTGTTGGGAAGCTTTAATAAGTAAAATGAATACTAAGAGGTGGGCTGGGGTGATTGTTGTGTTTTAATGCTAGATGATAAGAATCAGAGTCATACCTGCTCATTCTTGCTCGGCGATTACAAACATGGAGCATTTCAAGTGGACACAAATTTGGGGCGATGTTGTTCCAGTGACTACCTCCAACACCTGTAAGACAGGCATTATGGTAATGATGCCTGCCCTTGCTGTCACTCGTACTCATTCACATGGTTTCTCACGCAGCAGGCGAATCCTGTTACCTCTGACCTGCAGGTGGGAAATGCACCATGGCCCAGTCCCTGCATCCCTCCTGCAGTCTTTCCACTGCTGGGATCAGAATGCACAGGTAGGTTACAGGGGGCTGGCACAGGCCGGTGGGAGTGTGAATCACAGAATTGCATGGGTTGTAAAGGACCTTGAAGGTCATCTAGCCTCCATGCCCCTGCTGTAGGCAGAATGTAAAGTGCTTGCAGTGTCAGAGCGCATCCAGAGGAGGGCCAAAAAATGCTCCAAGGGATGGGACACCTCTCCAACAGGGACAGGCTGAGAGAGCTGGGGCTGTTCAGCATGGAGAACAGAAGGCTGTGGGGAGAACTGAGAGCAGTTCTTCAGTACTTAAAGGTGGCCGCCAGGAAGAAGGGGACAAACTCTTTAGCAGGGCCTGTGTGACAGCACAAGTGGAAATGGTTTCAAACTAAAAGAGAGGAGATTTAGACCGGTTATAAGGAAGAATTTTTTTACAATAAAATTGGTGAGGCACTGGCACAGGTTGCCCAGAGAGGTGGTAGATGCCCCATCCCTGCAGACATCCAAGGTCAAGTTGGATGGGCTCTGAGCAGCCTGATGGAGCTGTGGGTGTCCCTGATCACTGCAGAAAAGTCGGACTAGATGGCCTTTAACGGTCTCTTCCAGCTCAAGTGATTCTATGATTCTATACTGCCCAGATGCTAAATTTCTAGGTACGGAGAACTCCTACAGCATGAGATCCCCATCATGGCAATGGTGCCAGTGCCTCTCACTGCAGTATTCCAGATAACAGAGCAGATTAAGGGAGCGTCATGGGGTGTCAAAGGGAAAACAGAGTACTGCCAGTACACACAGGCAGAGAAACTCAGTGACTTGTTCAAGGTCACACAGGAAATCTGCAGGGGAACAAAGAGGAGAATCTGGTTCTTCCTAGTTCATGCCCCAACAGCTGGCTCCAGCTCAGTGACACATGGAAATGTGCCTTTAGTCCCACTGCAAAATGCTTCAAATTGCAAACTTCCTACTGTCCTCTGAGAGTGTTTTATTTGTGGAAACTTTTAAAAAAACAGTCATTCTGTAATGGCTATGGAAAGTTGTTTTCTTGTAAAATTGTAAATAAAGCAGTACTTATATTATTGTTATAATCTTTCTGGTCCTCAGTGACAGGGTGACCCCCATTGGTGTACGGAAATGGAGCAATTCATGAGTAATGGACCGTTTCCTGACATGCATATGCTGCAGCCCATCTTTTGTTCTCGGATCTTCAGGGACTATCTCTTATCATAGGTCTTTCCCCCCATGGAGAAATGCTTGGAGATTGCTTTAGGTAACACAGCAGTGGGTAATTGTCAAAGCCAACTTAAATTAAAGAATCTTTTCGGCAGTTCTGAGTATGCCCTTCGTGGACAACTGCAGGGGTAAATGATTTAACTCACTTTCAAAGAGCTTTAAGCTTAGAAATGTTTGGGTTTCAGACCTATCTCACAAATAGGGACCACCACCTTGTTATCATGAGCACCCGGAGCTCCCATTGGAAACCACGGGGCTCTGTTTTATGATCAGTGGTCTTTGTAGGAAATACCTCCTTGAGGACTGAATTCATGACCTAACAGAGAAGGCCAAAGCCTCGCTGTTGCCTCATGTTTCAGGGGATGTCCACCTTTCCTACACAAACAGATGGCACTGCAACAACAGGTCTCTGTGCATGAGGTTTTGTGGATGCACAGTTCACAGCAAGGATAAAACAGTAAAACCAGACCGAAAATTTTCATTACCCAGCGATGCAAGTCACAACAGCAGGGTTAAATCTGTTTCTATTTAGACAATATCTGGAACAGCGTTTTATTATACAGCCTGTAAAGCACTGCCTGTGCATGGGTGGAAAGTACATTGTCTCCTTAAATAAAGAACTGGGGCAGGATTGTTTGGCACTTTTTTTTTTTCTTCTTGTTTTTGCTTTAACCATAAACACAAAGTAACCATTTCTCCATAACATTGAACTCTTTGTGGCCTTCCTAGAAACAATAAAAGTACCCAAAAATAAACAACTACTTAGAATAAATATTAACTCGGAGACCTTTAAAATATGAAGAAAGCTGTCTCCTCAATATCGTCTCTTCCCTGATAAATGCAAAAGCCACCCCATGGGGTTCAATACCCAGGGATTTCAAGGCTTCAGGGTGTCTTATGATGCTCGCTCCCCGCAGGCTGAATGCCAGGCTTTGTGACTGGCTCTGTCTTAAAAGACAGAGTCCTAATCACTTTCAACTTCTCTAATTCTTCGCATTCCTTCCTAGCAAAATAACTGCCCGCCTCATAATGGTAGAAACATTTGGAGACTAAAAGAAACAAACATAAAATAATCAATTTTCAAGGTCCACTTGCAGACGGAGGGACTGTTTATGAAACATTTACTGTTCAGTTGCAGGAGAAAATCTTGTCTTAACAGAAAAAGGGGAAGCATGGAAATACTAGAGAGATTTTTTGTGAGGGGGTGGGTATGGGCATTAAAAATCTCCCGCTCCACAACTCAGATGATTGGCTTTTCCAGTAAGTAGATATTATCCACATGTTACCCAAGGAAATGTGCATTTTAAGCTTTGCAGAGTGAGGAGCAAGGGCTACTACCTCTCACACAAAGCAGAATGGGTTTGCTGATCCCCAGGCTGTTGGTTCAGCTTGTAAAACATCTCGAGCTTTAGCCTGGCCAGACCAAGCAGTGACCACAGCACGGCCCTGGCAGAAGAGCTCACCTCTCCTACCAAGTGTTTCCTTCGGGCAGGTTCTAGTTTCTGAAACAAAGCCTCCTGCTGGGTTCTTACTCATCATTTCTGCTGAGTTCCCATTAATAGAGAAGAAGAGATTGATCTTCCAAGCCAGGGTCCACTCCTGATTTCCCGCTTTTTACACCACACACACAAGAGTTCTTGGAGCAGTGGTACCCGTCACAAAGGACTGCCACAAGATGGAAATACTTCTGGTTAAAGTCTTATCACTTCAGCTGCACTGACCACACTTCTGATCACAGTCTGTCGTCACTCTCCAAGCTCTGCCTCCCACCCATCAGCTCAGAGGTTTGGTATTTTGATAGCCTTATCACCTCTTGGATCTGGATTTGATCTTTATCTTCTGTGGTAACATTTGAAGAATTAGAGAAGGAAAAAAAAAAAAAAAAAAAAAAAAGAGCTTTTATTGGCTTAATTTAGAAGTAAGACTTGCTTTTCAATTCCAGTTAAATAATTCATTTAAATCTTGCCAAAGATGCTGGAAAACTAATGTGTACAGATGAGAAGAAACCTTCCTAAAAATATGAATGGAAAACATCCAGTCTTTCCTGTTATGTTTATAGTTTTCCCTTACAGCATAGCATTAAAATTACAAGCTCTCATGTGGTATTATTTGGTTACATCCCCTAAAGACACAGGAAAGTAGTCCCAAAGGAACTCTACCCCAGTGAGAACTGAAGGCGCTGAGTACATCACTCAGGAACATCTCTTTTTTAATTGTTAGTGAGTGGGAATACTGGTTTCTTGCCTAGACCTCCCCAGACCTCTCTTCCCATATGTGTGAAGATGGAGCTAGATGGGGTAGCCCAGCTCACAGGTCTCTCTTACAAAGATCCATTTGTCTGGGTTTTGAGGTCTGTTACCTTTACCCACACTGAGTTCTGAGAGCAAAAGGTAACTGTGTCCAACTAATGATGAGGTGACAGGAGGTCCCAAATATAGGTAGCATATGCATGAGTGACAAAGACCAGAACTCACCTTCATGCGTGGAGATGTTCCTCTCTTACCATTTCCAACCCAACGAGCAAAAGTTTTCAAAAGCACTCAGCAGTGGCCTAATGCTGTTTCCCCTGGGGCTAATGCCAAAACCAGTGATGTTTGCTCAGCCTTCAAGGCTCTGGAAAGTCTGATCTGCTGATGGTGAACTGCTGAAGACCAACCTGCCTAGGGCATCTTCCCTATTTACGTTCAGCTCCCTGCTATCCCTCAGTTTTTAAGACCAAGGCTACACTGGTCTTACCCCACTTGTCTGTGGGCAACAATCAATTCTTGATGTGCAGCAAGAGTTCACGGTAAACGCATTAAATTTCTTAGATCTGTAAATAAGTGCAGAAGCCATATTAGACCCTGATATAATGCAACAGATAAGTTCAGTGATTAACTTTCAACATACAAACAATGCCACTGAAGTCATTTTAACAAAATTATGTATCTCCTTTCATTTTGTATGCTTAACGTTAAGCTCATAGTTAAGTGCCTGACTAATTAATTCTCTCTCTATGTACTTTAACTCAGACTTGTTTGGGGTCATTCAGTGCCATCTTACACAGATAAACAACAGTACGGCTTCCCTAAAACAATAGGCTGAAACCCGTTTGCATACACTGAGACTCTAATGGTGCCTCAGGATCTGTTTTCCCACGAAATATGACCTTCAAGTTCTTTCACTACATTTATGGACAGTTTATCACTCAAGAAGCTGAACCTGCCCTTCTCAAGATATCACAGTTTCTGGATTTCGTCTCAGTGCTGGCAGGATATGGGCTGCATTACCAAGCCCTCCATGCAGACGATTCCAAGTGCAGTCACATAGATTTCAATGGGTTGCACTATCTCAGTGGAGAGAATTTATTCAATCTACAACATTCTTCTAGTTAATTGTGCTGTAAAGTCACTTCATATACACAACTATTATAAGAACTGGTTTCTAACTAACACACTTTTCAAACCACCTCTAATAGGGAATTTACATAAGTACCAGCAAGAACTAGTTTATGGCTTTCATTTCTCAGGCAAGGGAGTAAGAATCTTACCTACAGCCAGAAACAAGTCCCCCACTCCTGATACGCTTGTGGATGGATGAACCAGGTCCTGTGTGCAGGGATAAGTCCCAGCCCCGTCACCTGGCTCAGTGTTATAGATGAACTGATGCAGATGAGCTGCAGACCCCTTCCCCTTGCTGAAGAGAAGAAATGCAATCCGTGCTGTGAGTCTCTTCTTGCTGCTGGAAACTATGTATAAAGGCACAAGCAATCCTTTGTAGCCGAAGAATCAGCTAAAAAAATCCAATAATTAGCCAAAGGAGCTAATTGCTGATATTTTGTTAAATAAAAAGAAAACAAAATGCTTTAATGATCTGTGTTGCACGCTGCTCTAAATGTATATTTTCAAATAAAGCACGTATCTCATTGAACACATCCGATTCTAGGCTTCCCAGATTCAATATAAATGATTAGACCTGTCTCTCTTTAGACAAATTATCAGTAAGGAAAGCCTTAGAAATATTTTCTTGTGAAATACAGTGCTATTTCTTTAAATAAAGGGCTCTGGCAGTTCTGTGAGGCAGTTAGCTTAGCGCCATTAATACAGAATACAGTCTATCAGCATTTAGTGAACTCTCCGTGACCCTGGCGGAAAGTAACTACTTTAGCTTACACTTATGAAAAATATTATTAAAAAATGCTTTTGAAATGTAAGCATCATTCATAGTCAGTGTTAAACCAGAGTTATGCTGCCGGCTCCATCAGGCATTTCACCAAAGATGGGGACCACTCGTCTTCTCCAGGGGATGCAGAGGGACTCTGGGAGCAGGAAAGCAGAGCTTCTCAAAGTATCTTGCTCCTCTTCTGCCACATGCACTCACAGGTTGCTTTTTTATTTGCTACATATTTCTTCTTTCAGCAGAAACCTCCCTCAAATGGCCTACATATTCAGTTTTGAAGTTCACCTGCTTTGCAACAGAGCAACAACTATGTGCTGTGCATGAGTATGTCCTGATGTGCCAAGACATGGCCTTCAAAGGTCACAGCTCCTCCCTTGCAGAAGGGCATCCTGGTCAGGAAGGATCTTAGGGAGGAAGTCCAGGGCCGTGTCTGCTCTTCCTGCCTTGCAGAGGAGGAAATTTTAATACTTCTCTGCCAACAAAAGGCAGTAAATGGCTTCCTTTGGTCACCCCACACACACACCCTCACTGTCCTCAGGATCACGCCTGCATGCCATGGCTATTCACCAAGTAGTACACAAGGTCACAGAATAAAACAAGCCCCTGGAGAAACCACCTGAGACAGGGACTTTTGGACATGGTGTAGCTATCTAGGCCCACATGCATAACACTGCAGGTGTCCAACTGTGATGCAGGCGCTTGGCCACTCGTTACCTGGAGCTCCACATAAAGCCGATGGGTCAGGCCCTCACAGGGAACAAATGCACTTCTCTGAAATATCTCTGGGAGCATCTACCTCTCAACTGGGCACCTATGTGCCTAATTTAGCCTCTTAATTCAGACATCTCCATTAAGCCAGACCTCAGTCCAAGCTTTAGCAGTTGCAAACTGAAATCAGGAAGCTCTTGCAATCTCCTTATTTGTGTAACATTCAGGAAAGACATCTGGTGACAAGAGCTGAGCCCTCAGCCTGCAGCATCAGTGCTTCTGTGGATAAGCACACAGGGACCGCCTGTCTGAGCCCTCTGTGTCAGAAATACGGGGTTTCTGCATTTGGAAGAGGGCCACCATTGGAAGCTGAACCTGGCCAGACCAGTTAGTAACATTCTCACGATAAACAGAGCTGTTCATTGCTTGGGCCACTGGCTGATTATAATAGCTATGAAATTACCCAATTTAGTTCACCACGCCAATAAAATTTATACAAAAATACCACCAGAATCTTGGCTAACATATGGATAACTGTATGAAAGTTACCCAAGCCAATGTGACAACCATTTAAGAGGACTAACCTCTGTCATACGGTTTTCATTTTATGTGTATGCTATACAAACACAACCACCACAAATATGCGTTACAGGCTGCCTGGGACTCACTAGCGAGGTGAATTAGCGCTGCAGTCTGACCTGTTGAAAAGCTTAACCTTTAACCTCCTGGGCAATGGCGGTTGCAATTTGCAAGCCATTCCTGTGTTGAGTGGCTGAAAACATACTTATTTACTTGTGTAAAGCTATAAATGAAATGGGTTGGGTGAGCTCAGCTTACTTCCCAGTTCACAGATCACGTCGCAAAACGCTACCACATGTTCAGCAAGTAATTCAGCATGAGGACTGAACGCTACCGCACTGTGACCCAAATTCACTCTTCAGAGAGAGAAGAGTTCTTTCTCATGTGGAGTGAACAGGAGAGAATTCTGAGTGACTTCCTTTTTAAGTAACTTCCCACTATGCTTCCAAGAAAAAAGAAATTTGAAGAGGTTGTTTGAAAATAAATCATTTTCAATAAATTCTCTCCATATCCATGCTGATACGCTTCTCATTAGAAGTGTATGTTTCTTCTTGCTGCCCGCTGGTGGGTCTCAGCTGTGACCTGGCTGCATTACCCACATAAGGTGAAGCATTCAGACATTTCTCCATTTTGTCTGCAAAGGCTGCCAGTGGTGCTGCTTAAGATGAACTGCAGAGAGGTAGCTGGGAGGTGGATGGAAATACCATTTTACACTCTCAGGTTTTGCAAGGTTTATCACTTATCAGTTTTTTGAAAGATGCATCATTTCAGGATGTGAAGCTCTCCCTGCTGGAACTGCTCTTGTCTATCAAATGAAGCCAAATCAGGAGATAACCCAGGTTTAGCAAACTGGATGTTTTGTAATGTAGATAGCAGGATAATAACTATTTCTAGATCAAAGTCGGTGACTAGGCGTTGCTCTTGGCTTGTTGGCTTTTCTGTCTGACTGCATAACCACAGGTAAGCTTGAGTTGCAAAATTGAGATCAGAATGCAAACTCCATAATTTGAGAACTATTTAGTTGCAGAGACCTGGTATGGTTCATGGAGAAGTGAGACAGGAATAAGGATGCTCAGAACCAGGGCTGTGCACAAACTACAGCCAGCCTGATCATGTGCTGCAGTCCTGGCCCACCTTCAGCCCCAATGCAGGTAAATTGCACCACACAGTTTTCTGAACAGATTAAAGCCACTGTTTCTTTCTGTCCGTATTTACACTTATGTGTTGAAACAGATCAAAAACATTAACCTTTCGTACCTACCATAACATTCTTCCATTAAAGCAGGTATTTCTGATCTTTGTTGTCTGATATTTCAGTTCTTGTTTGAATACTTCTCTCCTTTCAGGCCCTTCAATAAAAGAAAGAGTGCCTCTGTGAAGACATAGACAAAAAGGTTTATTTCTCTCTTGCTTCAAAAGATGTATGTTATCCAGAAGAAGCTCAAAAGCCCTGGATGAGCCAGGAAGGTTTAGGGAGGGATGCGAGGGAAAAGCACACTATATATATTGCTGCTTTTCCCTGCTTTCATATACATACCATAGGCAGCTGTAGCCCTACAAATTTTAGGTTAAAATATGACACCAGCCCTGGGATATATCAAGGAATATGGAAAGATGACACAATAAACAATAGGGATAGAAAAGGACAGAGCAGAATACGGGTGTACAGACTTCACTTACTTCAGCTGTAGGCACAAAGGAGTCCACAGCTGATGCTGGTGCTGAGATTTCTCTTGGTAATGGCAATGAAAAATAACAGCAATAAAAATAACATCATCATTCCAGGACGTATGACAACCTACTTTCCAGATATTGGTGAAAACTGCAGGACTTGTTTTTTAAAGAAGAAATTTGAATGAAAAATTTCTGGTCTAAAACTGCATTTTGAAGAAAAAGTCATCTTGGATGGGATCCATGCCACGCTCTTCCACTATACTTAAAAGCTGGTTTCAGAGGTGAATATCAGCATGTGAAACAGCATTACTATTAATGCTAAGGTCATATTTGTTGATTACAAAGAAAGCAGCAGATTTCCTTTGAAGAGAGGAACCAGTATTCCCCATTGGCTGGGAGCTTGCTGCGATAGCTCTGCAGTCAGAGGCTGGCAATAATTACACCTTGGGTTTTGCGGTCATTTTGGATTGGTGTGAACATGATAAATGACATGTTTTAATTTGAACTATTGCTCAGCAGGCCTGTTCAGGTAGGCAATAATTCACTCAAGCAGGCAATAAACCTGAACAGGCAATAGCCCACACTTTGAAGTATGCCAGCAAACTCTTTAGCAACAAAATAAATATGTACATGAACTTCCGCCATAAATTGTCTTTAGTGAGGCAGACCTAGTAAGAGTTTCAGAGCTGGCTTTTCAGGTACTCATGAGGAGCAGAATGAGTCAGTGGGCAGATCCTACTACTGCATTAATTCTTTGAAGCTGGACTAACGAACTGGTCCCATCTTAGGAGGAGTCTTCTGTTCAGCGGAGGCAGAGTGACTAAGCCGGCAGGGCAGTTTTTTCCTTTTACTAATATCAGTAAATTGCCTCCTGTGAAACAACTTATAAGTGGTTCTGCTCCTTTGCAGCCTACCAAACTGCAAAAAGGCAGCAGCAATGTGCAGAGAAGGCTTGCTACAGCTCTGAAGAGATACTAGAGGGTCCAAGCAGATCCAACACTCAGTGCTCAGGACACCTGCTGGCAAAGACATGTTTGCACAACACTCTTCTTTACAATTCTGATTTAACTGTTTTCAAATCAGGCCGCATGGCAGACATTACATCACTACTATACTGCAAATGCAACGTTTTCAATCTTTAGGCAAACACGTGCATTGTTGTAGTTGCTTAAACTAAGAGTTTCTTGAAAACGTCTCCAGACTTGCTGGTAATATGTTTCTGTCTCTGTGGGACGCAGTTGTAAAGGAAAGCAAAAGTGACTTGATTTCTTCTGGCTGCCACAAGCTCCTATTTTCTTCCACAAGGACCTAGATTGCTGTCACTGATTACCCTAACAGGCCCAAGGTTGGTCTACGTGAAGCTTTTCCACCTTCTGTTTATATGAACAAGGGAAAGAATTTAAAGTCAGAAGAAAAAACAGCAACAGATTAAATGGAAAGAGACAGTCTGTCATCAGCAGGAGATGGCTGTGAGTCCCCACTGTTCTGCTGCCCAGCTGTGCTCTTGTTCCAGATACCTCTTGGTGAGATATTTTGAGATACTTCAACATCTGAGGCTGTCTCTGGTGCAGGATCCCTCACCTGTTTGCAGACATTCTCTGTCAAATCATCCTGGATGGCAGAGCAGTACGTGCCACCATCCTATGGCTGTTGGGAGGAACCTCTTTATGGTGATTCACCATGCTGGGCACAATGTTCTTTGCCTCCCCAGTGGTGACCATTTGCCTTTAGAAAGAAAAAGAAAATGAATTTCCATGCTGGGCTTTGAATCCAGATTTACATTCTTTCCCTGCGTGAAGTTGCCCAGCTCTGTCACTCTATTTTGATCCATCGCAGGAGTAAGATCCAACAGCTTCCTTCCAATGGGAACCTGGACCTGAAAGCCTTCCTTCTCCCTTCCCACACCATCTGGGAGCTAGGATTTTCCATCTTTTGTTAAAATAGTTACTTACAAAAGGAGGAAAGGGTTGAGGGCAGTTCACTGCGTTTATTTCACTTGGTATGTGTTTGCCTTTGCTTTAACACAGGCTTGTTTTCATGCCAAATGACAGTTCTATTTGTTCCCCCACCCCCTTTTTTTGTGTAGCTTATGTAGAACATCTGGTTTTAAAAGTGTCGCAATTTCTAAACATATTCTAACGCTCTTGGGATCAGAATATCAACAACTGTCTATTGCGGTAAACCGCATGTCTGGAAAACATTCCTGCAAACTGAGTTCTTAAATAAACATAAAGCATCTATAACACATAATGCAAAGCAACATTCACTCATAAACTCAATATTTAGACCAGATGAGGTGCAAAATATGGTTTCTCTGGACTGAGCCACCATAATTTACAGTAACATTGATGGACTTTCCGTTGTATACAAGAGAGGGCAGAGGTGTGGCATGCAGATTGCAGCCTTCCTTTAAGAGCACATTCTGCGTTTAAGTCCCATCCTTAGGGGTTTGCTTCAGTTAGAGAATGAAGACCAGGGCTACATCCTCCCAAAAAGTTTCTATGGTTATTAGAAAGTAGGAATCTAAAAAGGAACGGCAAAGGACTGACACATTAGAAATGCCTGTATCTGATAAGCCTGCTGATCTTGTGTAACATCTGCATCTATGCTAATTATCTGCATGCATGGGTCTGAAATCCAGAGGCAATTCAGAGATAGCTTGAAGATTAAATAAACTGAATAAGATGGTGAAAGGAAAATTGCAGTAAATTGGTCTGAGTGGGAAGCTTTTGTTATTTTCAATCATTATTATTATTTATAGGGTGTGGAAAGTGGAACCATAAGCAACTTTATAGAGATATGCAGTCATACTTTAAAAAAAATGGTTTCACTTTGAAACTCCTCTCCACACTGGTTTCAGAAGCTCTACTTGTAATGAGGAATAGTACCAAAGCGAATAATCACTTCAAGCCACTTTTTCGTCTATTGGTGGCTGATGAAGTTTGTTGCCTAGAAATGGAAATGCTGAAAACTCATTAAACAATTGCTACATGCTATAAATATCTTTTGATTATTCTTACAGATTGCTATTTCTTATAAATATTACCTTCCTTTCCCTAAAAAAAAAAATAATCCAAATGCCTTTCTCCAATTAACCCTTTAAGAATTTCCACTCTAAAGTTCATGTAAATATTTCTTATAAGGAAAAAAGATGAACACGTACACTCAGGCTGAGATAATTACATCTGAAGGCTACTGAATCCAGCTCTTTTGGCATCTCAGAGTTAAGGTTTATCAAGAAAAATTTGAAAAATTAAGACAGGCCTTATCATTTCATTCCCTAATATTAAAAAGGGCTGGATCTTTTTTTTTTTTTTTGATGATTAACATCTGTAGTTATGTAAGGTAAGATAAGGGTATTAGAACATCTTGCTTCCCTGTATAAAGAAGATCATCTGAACAGTATGGAAATGAGGGCCTCCACCCTAATACCCCATTATGCAACTGAATAGATGTTTTGGCCCCAATCCTGCACATATTAGGATGAAAATACCCCCCCAGCATGTAGTGATACATACCATACGCTGGACCTACATGATTGTTGGGGGACAGATTACAATCGCTTTGAAGACTGAAGACTGCTCTGAGATTGGTGAAATTTTAGGCATCAGAAGGATAAATGCTCAATATTTCTCACCTCTTCCATAACAAACTCAAAATTTTCACTGCTGGTGTGGGTTATTGGACTGACCCAGGGTAACTGGAACTGATTCTCCATAGATGCTCAAGCAAATGGTTTCTAGAAAGCAGGCCCGCTTTTAGTTTACTGAAAGCAAGCAAACTTTTAACAAATCAACCAGAGTGAAAGGGACTGAGCATTCAGCCGAACATATTTCAAGCTTGAAACAACTGGGCTCTAATGCAAAGCAGATTTGTGCCAACCTGAAGGGACTTGGCCATCATGGCACTCCCTTGGGATTTGCACTGTGACAACCCAACGGCTCGGCGCCTTGCTTCTGTGAGTGACTCTACACGACATGCACTGCCCGCAATTGCTATTAGTAGGCTGGTGTCACCCCTACAAAACAACTGCTTTTTGCCAAGTCTAATCACTATACCATACACTTGAGCTTCTTGAATGAGGGGTTCTCATTCAAGCATGTAGTTTATTCAAAAACACATGCTGCATTCATTATAGCTGAATATTAACAAACACCTTGAATTCTTGGACCACTACTGGTATCAGGTCTCTTGGCTGCAGCTAGGACAGAATGCCTTATGGGAAGTTTGATGCCCAGCCAGGGCTCAGATTACAAAGCATACATAGCTTTTTTTCAGTATATTGAAGAATCCACTGAATGTTACGTATCATCAAAGTACTTCCTAAACACATGTGGTTCTCCAAAATGTTTATGTTGGGATTGCAATGACTCTGGAAAAATCCAGCATTCCTTTTCCAGAAGCTACAAAACAGCAATTACTCTACTGAGGGCTGTTTTAAAGACATAACTGTTCCATAATACGTGTGTGTGTGTATCATTTTGGGAGGGAGAAGAGAATCTTGACAGTTTTGATAAAAGCTCGAAAGAAAATATAAAAAATAAGCTCAACATAAAGCACAGTTTAGAGCTTAGGCTATATCTCATCCTCCTGTTCACTCTAAGTTTGAGGCAATCACTGGTGTATTGCTACACAATCATAACTACTAGCATTTTCCAGGAATCTGATCTATCTGTAGGTTTGTACGACCTCTGTTGCCTGAAGACTTGACAACTTTGCAAATTCTTGTGTCTCTTCACACAGCTTTCCTGTGTAGCACAAGAAAAGTTTTTTTGTACTTTCAAGGCTGTCAAATATCACAAAAGTAAATAAAGGCAGAGAGGAAGCCTGTGGTTGGTAAGAGTGGAAAGCGGATCACTTGAACACTGGTTCCACGCCTTACCTCTGAGATCGCCCTTGCTCTGCACACACAGTGAACCCCCATCTTACCGAGACATTACATTAACATATTTCTCAAAGCTGCATCCAATATAAAATCACATTTCTCCAAGTACCCTGTTTCTTCAAAGTATGTCTTTGGCATCTTCTAGTGAGTAAGCTAGAAATAAATGTTTCTGTTATTATTCCTAAAGGTGTAATATTATTTACTTTGAAGGATCATGAACACAGACTTCTTCCACAGCCTGGAGCCAGCATCCTCCCCAGTTCCTGTTCCACTCTATTGCAATCTATTTCCCTGACATCAAGGATTACCTTGTGGCCTCTGCAAAGCTATCGCCTGGCCCACTGTAGAGCCTCGGTGCAGCTGTAACCTGCTGAGCAAATGGAGAGCACTTAGGTGTGACACTGCTCACAGACAGCACCTGTGCATGGCCCAAATGTTTGCCCACACGTTAGTTCTGCAGTGGGAAGTCTCTCACCCAACTGCTCTTGTGGAGATTGTCCCGCTATGCTCTGCCCTTGAGAGGCTCCATCTGGAGTACTGCGTCCAGGCCTGGGGCCCCCAGTACAGGAAGGTTGCAAAGCTGTTGGAGTGGTTCCAGAGGAGGGTCATGAGGATGACCAGAGGGCTGGAGCTGAGCTTGTTCAGCCTAGAGAAGATAAGGCTTCAGGGAGACCTCATTGCAACCTTCCAGTACTTAAGGGAGCATATAAACAGGAGGTGGACAGGCTTTTTAAATAGCTTGACGGTAACAGGACAAGGGAAAATGGCTTTAAACTAAAGGAAGGGAGATTCAGGTTCAACATTAAGAAGAAATTCTTTACTCAGAGGGCGGTGAGGCCGTGGCACTTTGCCACTCTACCCTGAGCAGCTTCATCTGGTGGGTGGCAACCAGCCCATAGGGGTTAGAATAGGTAATCTTTAAGGTCTCTTCCAATCTGAACCATTCTATGATTCACCCAAATCCCTGGTGTGAACTCAGCCTGCATTTAAAGGAAGCCAGGTCCCCAGCCATGACACACAACAGCAGGCTGGTATCAGCCCAGCCCTGGTATTGAACTGAAATATGCCTAGAAATAAGCGAGCAAGGGGATTGCCTCTAAAAAACACAGCTCGTGGATTTTGCATAGGATTAGGCAAAAACTTCCTTCTGTTTTTCTAAATATTGACAAAAGGAAACAGGAAGATAGGTCTGTCCATAAAGAAGAGGTCTATTAATTCTGCTCTATTCAAGTGATAGTTTTATCTCTGTATTAAAACAAAAAGGGTAATGCTAGATATTACCTTTTTTTTATCTTGATAGTTCTAAATCTCATAAAATATTAGTATCTGTATCAGCTATAAAAATTAACAGCTCCAGATCCTTCAGTGTTGTGCTCCTCAATTTCATTTTATCACCAGTTTTTCAGTTGTCTGTGCATGTATGTGTGTGTGTGTGCACATGCACACATGTCCCTCCCTTTGCAAGCTGCTTGGCTGGTGATGAATAGGCTTATAATTGCTCAGCAAGGCTGTGCAGGAGGGCTTGCGAGTGGCACTCCTGATTCCTTTACATCAGAGGTCACTATTGTACAGTAAGATCCTGATAGGAGATAGTGATAACATGATGAAAAAAAAAAAAAAAAAAAGAAAGAAGAAAGAAGAAAGAAAACTGGCTTTATGGCACGGATTGTTCCACAGTTAAATAATTTTTTAGGCTTAAAACTGAAAAATTCTGTCTGGCATCTCAGTCCAAAACTGCCCTTTAAAAATGCTTGGGAGCCAATGTAACACCAAACTCACTATGCTGTTTGTATGCACTTACTCAATCTAACCTTTATTAACAATTAATCTATCAAATTTC